GACCGTGCAAAAAGAATCTGCGAACCCCACCTCCTCCAAGATGAACTGAACCACCTCAACTGGGTTCTCCAGGCCAATGGATACTCCACCTCAGACATCAGAAGAGCTGCAAGACCAAGAACAAGCCACGAGAGTAAAGATGAAGATCCACCCAGAGGAAAAGTGTTCCTGCCATACATCAAGGGAACCACTGATCGCATAGGGAAGCTGATGAGGAAACACAACATACAAACAATCTACAAACCCACCAAGAAAATCCAACAAATGCTACGTTCAGCAAAGGACAAGAGGGATCCTCTCACCTCTGCAGGAGTCCACCGTATACCATGCAGCTGTGGACAAGTCTACATAGGGACCACCAAACGCAGCATTGCCCAGACACGATCAAGGAACATGAAAGGCACTGCAGACTACTTCAACCAGAGAAGTCAGCCATAGCAGAGCACCTGATGAACCAGCCTGGACACAGCATATTATTTGAGAACACAGAAATGCTGGACCACACCAACAGCCACCATGTCAGACTACACAGAGAAGCCATTGAAATCCACAAGCATGTGGACAATTTCAACAGAAAGGAAGAGACCATGAAAATGAACAAAATCTGGCTACCAGTATTAAAAAACTCTAAAATTATCAACAGCTAAACAACAGAGAGGAAAAAACCAGGCACAGATTAACACCCCCCAGCAACAGATTTTCCCAGGCTCAGGCAGGCCTTCAAATGCTAATGAAGGTGATCAGCTAAACATTCACACCTAACTGCAGCAGGGAAGAGCTCCTTGCCCCACCCCAGCCATTCCACAGATATATAAACCCATTTTTCCTACTTCCAACAGACCTCACACCTCTGAGGATGCTTGCCATAGATGCAGGCGAAACGTCAGGAGAAATGCCTCTAGAACATGGCTCTATAGCCCGAAAAAACCCACAAGAACCTAGTGATTCCAGCCATGAAAGCCTTCGACAATACAAAAACAAAGCACTTGGAAACTGTTTTTAAAGAGTAGCATTACAATAATAAACATCAATTCAACAGCAGACTAATTTTTGGAGGAGCGGGGAAGAGGAAACTATGCAAACTGGTTAAAGGATAGAATGGTTCAAAGGTGGATAGAAATGTATAATAGGATAGGAAATAGCATGGAAACAGCGATTTAACAGGATTGATTCAGCTTAACTTGAAAATATATATAGTAATATAATATAGGAATTCAGGACAAGATTCAGGTCATGATACAAATCATTTGTCATAAGGGTCGTCAGTCGAATGCACAACAAAACTTCCACGTCTTTAATTCCTTACGGAATGTGAATAGGGAGGGTGCCAGTCTAATCTCCCTGGGGAAGGAGTTCCAGAGATGAAGGGCCACCACTGAAAATGCCCTCTCTCTCGTCCCCACCAGCCGCGCCTGAGACAGAGGTAGGAGCGAGAGAAGGGCATCCCCAGAAGATCTTAAGGATTGTGTGGGCTCGTAGGGGAGCATGCAGTCACAAAGATAGGCAGGTCCTGAACCGTTTAGAGCTTTATAGGTAATAACCTGCACCTTGTATTGGGACCGGAAACTTATCGGCAGCCACTGGAGCTGTTTAAACAGGGGGGTTGACTGCTCCCTGTAACTTGCTCCAGTTAACAATCTGGCTGCCGGCTGTAGTTTCCAAACCGTCTTCAAGGGCAGCCCTACATAGAGTGCATTACAGTAGTCCAATCTTGAGGTAACTAAGGCATGGACCACCATGGTCACATATCCATTCTCTGCAGTCTGGACACAAACAAGGATATTTATTTATATTTATTTATTTACAATATTTCTATCCCACCTTTCTCAAGCTCAAAGGCAACTCAAGGCCGCTAACAAATTGTCAGCAATTTGATGCCATAACAATCTAATAAAACTTTGTGCAAGACTGGAGTGGGCTTTGCTACATATGCCAGAGCTGGGCAAACACATTAATAGAATCATGGAGTTGGAAGAGACCTGGTGGGTCATCCAGTCCAACCCCCTGCCAAGAAGCAGGGAAACTGCATTCAAAGTACTCACAATAGATGACCATCCAGCCTCTTTTTTAAAGCCTCCAAAAAAGAAGTCTCAACCTCACTCCGGGGCAGAGAGTTCCACAGCTGAATAGCTCTCACAGTTAGGAAGTTCTTCCTAATGTATTGTCGAAGGCTTTCATGGCCGGAATCACTGGGTTGTTATAGGTTTTTTCGGGCTATATGGCCATGGTCTAGAGGCATTCTCTCCTGACGTTTCGCCTGCATCTATGGCAAGCATCCTCAGAGGTAGTGAGGTGAGGTAACTAAGTTCTTCCTAATGTTCGGGTGGAATTGGAGGCTGGGACACATTTTTGACCCTATGCTCCTCTTCACAGTACCCAGACATCCCTACTGATACAAAACATGAGGAGGCCAAATAAAGCCCAACTAACACAGATATATAAACCCAATTTTCCTAGTTTTCAACAGACCTCACAATCTCTGAGGATGCCTGCCACAGATGCAAGTGAAACATCAGGACAGAATGCTTGGGGAACATGGCCATACAACCTAGAAGACTCACAACAACCCACCAAATGACACATTTTGCAAACTTTTGGAGGAGTTTGGGCAATTTGGAAATATTTTTTCTTCTATTAAAAAAAACAAAAACAAATGTTGAACTTATCCTTGGCAGTCTTGATAGGTCACAAAAAGGCACTGTGGTTGCATACAACATGTGGCCTACAATTTCCTCATCCTTGCAGTAAACTTTGTTTCCTTTCTCTCTGCCCTCTGCAAATTTCCATCACTCACTGATGCCCCAAAGAAAAGAGAGGGGCTCCAACTATCCACCTGCCCAGACCTAAAAGGCATTGAAACACCTGGCATTACGTACATGTACTGTAGTTATAGGCAACACTACCTTAAGAAACCATAGACGTTTCAACCAGCAATTATCAACCATTGGGAAACTGGCCATTTTACTGACCAATCCTTGCCTTAACAAGCTCCACGTATTACAGCCATTGTTGCAAAACTGCAGCTATGGGTGAGGGATTTGAAGGCTTTGCCCTCCACCAATAATTATGTCTTTCCAAAGAAATGTTCTTCTTTCTCCCCACATTTCTAGCACAGCAGTAAATTAAAACTTCAGAAATCCAGAAATACAATTTAGGCATTCAAAGAAAAGGTGCAGGCAAGGTTAATAAGTATATGTGAAAATAGCAAGTGCAAGAGTTCAAAGTGTGAACAATTTTCAAGGTCTCACTCTCTGCAGTGTTAGAAGATCGAGGACTGAAAGAACATTTACGTGTGGGAGGAGAATTCTTATGGGGAGGTCAATGTCCTCATTTCCACCCAGGCCTGTATTATTATTTTTTTTGCTATCAGCCACCTTGGAGCTATCTTATTAGGAAAAAAGGATTTGGGTTATTCAAAATACGTAAGTATATAGTTCTCTGTTCACCTGATGCTCTGGTGTCACACAATAAGCTTCATGTCTAGCATCTGCAGTCTGCTACATCACTCCACTCTTAGAGCACATCCAGACAGCCACTTTATTGTGATAACTCCCACAATAAAGAAAGGGATGTCTAGATGAAGTCCTGGACAATCCCAAATTAATTTGCTACAAAGCAGGAAAACTCTGGTTTGTAGTGAATTAATTAGATAATGGATTTATTCCATGCCTTTTTGGAAGGCGCAGGATAAACTCACGATTTCCAATGTCTGGACTGTAGTCCAGACACCATTCCCACAGTTTTCCAGACTAAATTAGTCTGGAAAACTGTGGGAATACCCACCCCCTCCCCAAAGCCCCCAAAACCCTTTGAAAAGTAAATAAAACTTACCCGGCCTCCAGTACACTCTTGCAGCAGCTCTCCCAGTGCATAGAAATGACACGCCAGGAGAGGAGGGGAGGAGCGATTTTCCTGCCCCCTCCCCCTACTCTCCTGGTGTGTCATTTCTACACGCCGGGAGAGGTGCTGTAAGAGTGTACTGGAGGCCAGGTAAGTTTTCTTTACTTTTAAAAGGGGTCTGGGAGTTTTAGGGGAGGGGGGGAGTGTCCTTGCAGAACATCTGTACACCAACCCCAGAAAGTGTGCGCTTTCTGGGGTGGGTGTAGACTGGCCCCCAGGAACATCCACATTTTTAAAACGCAAATTATCCTGGGACTGCCCTTAAATTGAACATATACAGAATATGCTATTGTCACATCATTGGTCATTGCAAGTGCCTGCAACTATAGTGGATGGTTTCTTCTCCATTAACAGTCCTATGCTTACAGAAGTCTACAGTGTTCCTAGCTATTTCTTATATTACATCAAAAAGAACAAAACCTTTGTTTTGTACGGCATCCTTTTGCCACTATCCATCCTTCTTAAGGTAGAATTTCCAAAGGAGTTGCTAAATGTAATTGTCCTGGTCAGTACTATCTGCATTTAATTTACTCAAAGCCTCACTGTCTACAATCTCATCTTCTTATTCCAAGTCCTAGTTATCTTTCTCAGAAACTCTAAAAGGGATCTCCTACTTCACTTCTAAATCCCCAACTGGTGCTTCATCTGGCTACACAGGCCAGCTATCAGGGTGCAATTCAAAAATGGGGAATATGTGAACTCCTAGAGAAAAAAGGTGTTGTTGGGAAATGCAGTCCATTACACTACACCTCAGTTTTGGTGACACTTGGCAGTCTATTACACTACTTTTAGCATTCTTCTCAGGTGTCCTTCACCCTATCAGTGGTTCTCAACCTGTGGGTCCCCAGGTATTTTGGCCTACAATTCCCAGAAATCCCACCCCGTTTATCAGCTGTTGAGATTCCTGGGAGTTGAGGGCCAAAACATCTGGGGACTCACTGGTTGAGAACCATTGCCCTAGATATTCTCACCATTTCCACAATATATCATGGCCCTGCATCCCACATATTGTTCTACAAACATGCAAGCATCCATATTTACATCCACAAGGCATTAAATGCCAACGAAATAAAGATACACTCATAAGAATGGGCACTTACTGGTCATCCCCAACCTTTTTCACCCAAGCCATATCTCTCTCCGACTGACTGGTTGCAAGATCCTATGAAACATTAAGACAAGCCCTGTTATAACAGAAGAGGAACAAGGCAAGCAAAGAAAGAAACTAGCCCATCATCATATGCCTGAAATACCGCAGTTTAACCAATTAGAAGTAAGATCAATTTCGCAACTAGATTGCATCCGAAAAAATTAAGTAAGTAAGTAAGTAAGGTATTGATTACCAAATTTTGATCTTCCGGGTGTTTTGGTCTTTAGCTCACATAACTTTCAGCTAGTTTGGCTGAAGTCAAGGATATCTTGACTTCAGCTTGGAGCTGAAGTCAAGGATATCTAGAGGACCACATTTGGAAACTCCTGATTGAAAACATTTTCCCATGTTTCAGTTAACCCCTCATACGACATGGCACAACAATAATTACAAAACAAAAGCACCACATATGACAAGAAATGTACAATCTAAAGAAAGCAAAAAAAAATGCACAATCAAATAAAACTGGCCTAATTGCATAGAACAGATATAACCTCACTGGAACAAATACTTGACAAAATAAATAACTTTTGACAATTTACCTAAAAGCCAAAACAACAAAAACAGAGGTCTATTGATTTTTCTCAGGGAAATGAACTCCACAGTTTAGGTATAGCTTTGACAGGTTCTTGCCCCATGTCAATCAATAACATTTCAGTAGACAATGAGATGCAGTAGGCAGCAAATGATATTCACAGTTTGATGTTTTGTGCAACTGTATGCAGTTTAGGAGACAAAAACATGGTTCATAGGGGTTCATGGCTAGACCTCAAGATGTTGGTTTTCTGGATATATTGAATAAAGAATTATCCAGAACCAACTCTAAAGCCTTTCTTGATCATGTTCCTAAACTCTGACCATAGTCTAAAAAGGTGAAGGTTTCCGCTTAAGTCTAGTTGAGTCCAACTCTGGGGGGTGGTGCTCATCTCCATTTCTAAGCCGAAGAGCCGACGTCTGTAGATACCTCCAAAATCATGTGGCGCGCATGACTGCATGGAGTGTCGTTACCTTCCCGCTGGAGCAGTACCTATTGATCTACTCACATTTGCATGTTTTTGAACTGCTAGATTGGCAGAAGCTGCGGCTAACAGCAGGAGCTCACTGTACTCCCCAGATTCGAACTGCCAACCTTTCGGTCAGCAAGTTCAGCAGCTCAGCTGTGCCACCATAATCTAGTCAGCAACAAATGTATGAGTTGGTAGTTAACTAGAAATAAGAGTAGGATATAGCATAGGACAGGAATCTTAAATAGTAATATTAATATGTTTTAATTCTTGTAAAGCAAAATTCAGACTGGGGTACAATAACCTTCTTCGTAAATGGAGTTTCTTGTCTGACAAGCACAGCTTTAATTTTACACAAAGCCTGTTTTGCATCAGCATTGTGCCATTAATCCAGGAACAATAATACCATTTCAACCAGAGCATTAATACCTCTTTTCAACATGACTCTCATACTTCAGTACTCACATGATCTGAGAATAATCAACATTATTAGCACATGTTAAATAAAAATCTGTCTCTTGACTAACTCAGAATCCATTTTTGTTTTAGAATCAGATCAATGCTTTTTCATTGTCGTAAGCATTATCAGTTACCTTGCATTCTTAGTAACATTATCTTAATTACACATAAACAAATAGATAATACTAAGGCACTAGCATAGGAAAGGGAAGGGAAGGGTTAACACTCCTGTGGTGTTTCCTTGCTCTCTGTACAAAAGATTTTACCTCCCTGTGACCATTGGATTTCGAAAAATCCGGCTTGTTATAGAAATAAGGATTGGTGAGGAAGCTTCAGTGGAGACTCCTTTTCCCCATGATAACTCTCAGGAGTGGATTTCCTTTCCTGTTTGTAGTTCGGAGTCTGCCTGTATAGACAAGTTCTATGCTTCCACTTTGTTGTCATAGGCTGTATTTACACTGCCATATAAATTATCTGCTCTGAACTGGATTATATGGCAATGTAGACTCACACAACCCAGTTCAAAGCAGATAAAATGGATTCTCTGCTTTGATAATCTGGATTAGATGGCAGTGTAGATCCAGTCATAGTTTCATCCTTTGTGAATCTGAAACTTACAATTTAACAAAAGGCTTTTACCATTATCAGGTGGTGCCCTTTATTGCCTCACCAAATGCAAACCCCAGGATTCCACATGATGCAGTCCTAACAGTTGACGTGGAACACAAGCCCTATAACAGTGCAGGGTGAAAGGTCCTATTGCAGGGTTTCCATGTTACCTGCGCCCGTGTCTCTTGTAACTGCTTCACCTCAGCCTGCAATCTCTCGCATTCAGCCTTCAGCTGTTCTTCTCGGTGTTGAGAGTTCTGGACTTCCTGCCTCGATTCTTCCAGCTCGACTTCCAGTCGCTGCACCTCCAAGCCCTCTGCCTCACCTAAGCCTCTGGGACCCTGCCAGTTCATGGAACGATCTAATACTAGCAACAGAGAAATAAAGAAGGAGAATTGGGGAAAGGGCAGAAGAGGGAAAGAAAGATGTCAGTAAGCAAGTGTAGACTTTTAGAAAACTCTAGGTTTGGAGCAGGGGGAAGAGATCTTATGCATGTTTGTGGGGGAAAACACTTCTGGTGCCCCCTGTTCTCTTTAGGACCAGGAGTGGAGAATCTCTTTCAACCTCAGGATGAAAGTTCTCAGGAGAAGTTTCCCAAAAATGGCTGAGACAAAATGATGAGACCAAGATTACCACACAACTTAAAGGGAGATATTGTCATCAGACATGTTTTCATTGGCCTTTATGGAAAAAGAACTGGATAGTAAATACCAATTACTTCTTTGATACATGACAACAGCACCAAGAATACTGTTTGTTCAGTCCTGGAAATGGACTGAAGCACTGAGGATGGAAGAATGGATTGTTGTGGTTGCTGAGCTGGCCCAAATTGACAAATTAACAGGTTTTGAAGGATAAGCCAATTGAAGGTTTTTTAAAAAAATAATGATGGAAAACAAGTTATGGAGTTATTTGAGCAATAAGAAATCTACCAATGTAATAACCTATGGCTATAGCTATTACTTAGCTTGATGATAATAATAATAATAATAATAATAATAATAATAATAATAATAACAAGAACAACAACAACAACAACAACAACAACAACTTTATTTTTGTATCCCACCATCATATACCTGAAGGGACTCGGGGCAGCTAACATGTCCAATCAAATATACGTAGTTAAAACATAACACAGTAAAATTTAAAACAACACAGTAAAACAACAACAGTATAAACAACCACTGAATAAACAAACAATAGCCTGACATGGTAAACAATACTGAGCTCAGGAAATCAGGTTGGTGCAATTCAGTTACAAGGACAGGGCTGATGGATAAAGTGCAGGAGCCAGGTGATAAGTTAGGACTAGGAGGGCAATATGAAATAGAACATTATGTCTATAGGGAAAGGAATAGTAGTAAAGTACAAGGGCAAGACACTGAGTTATGGTTGGGGGGGATGACACAACGTTATCTGGTGGGCTGCTTAAGCAAAGGCACAGTAGAACATCTATGTTTTTAGGATTTTATGAAACATGAACAGGGTGGGCATCAGTCTAATCTCCATGGGGAGCACGTTCCAGAGCAGGAAGGCCACCACCGAGAAGGTCCTCTCTCTCGTCCCCTCTAAACACACTTGTGATGGGGATGGGAGCGAAAGGAGGGACTCCCCAAAAGATATTAGAGATTGTGCAGGTTCGTAGGGGAAGATGCGGTTGTGAAGATAGCCAGGTCTCAAACCATTTAGGGATTTGTAAATGATAACCTACACCTTGAATTGAGACTTGAAACTTATCAGCAGCCAGTGGAGCTTTTTAAACAGGGAGGTTGACCACTCCCTGTAATTCACTCTAGATGTGTAATGACATAATGATTTCTCTCTTTTTTAATTTTTATTACAGTCACAGCTCCATTGTGTTTTACTTAAATGTCTTTTCTTCACTTTTCTCACTTTATTGCTCTCTTTCTTTAGTTTCTTTGACTGTATTTTGATTGAAACTGTGATAGTATATTAGATTAAAAGTTAGTGTTAAAAATTAAGGGCAAAACAGCAATTAGATCAGAATGTCTTATCGCTTTAGCACCCTTTATTAATCACAGAGAGCATTCCTTTAAACATAAATTTGTGAGACCATTCACCTTGCAAAGAGAAGTTAATATGAACTACTTTTGGTGCATAAGAATGATAAGAAGTGGGTTGTGATGGCAAATAAATTGCAACCTCCCCGCCTGCCAATTTTTAAAGAGTGACAGTTATGCTTTGGAAATTTAAATGAAGAATGGCCAAATAATATTTCTGAAGTCATTTGGAAATTGATTATATTAGATATATGTAACTATGTAAATGTGTTTGTGTATGTGTATCTATTTTTCTATCTCAAGTAATTATAGCACCATCTACTGGCAAAAATGTATTGTTCCTCAACACAAATACCATAGTTTACAAAACTTGGAGGAAAAAAATCAACAGATTAGACAATAGGCTTGTGCATTTCTGCTGAACTTTGATCCATTTCTTCTGGCTGGATTTCGGTAGACCCCTGTATCCGTTTTCGTGTGCCTTCCGAAAAAGGGTGGATAGCTGGATAGTCGTTTTTGGTCCGCAGACAAAAAAATGCAGCTAGATCCAGTCCATTGGTGGGAATGGGGAGCTTACGATGCTCCCCTTTCCAGTCCTGTCCCAGTCCAATCCCAGTCCTTTCAAAAGAGCCTGGGTTTCAGCAACGGGGTTAAGAAAGCATCCTTCCTGGGATTCTTTCCTTTGTTTTTCCCTTCAAAGGAGCCCAGGTTCAGCAATGGGGTTAAGGAAGGAGACCCCATCGCTTGCAGGCAGGGCTCACAGGGAAACACAGTGCAAGCAGGCCACCACATGTTGCTGTATAGGGGAGGATGAGCCGTGATCGGCTACCACATGGTCCCATAATTGACCAAAAAAATGTGATGGCTGAGCCCACACCATTACACCCATCCAGCCAAGCCAAACAAGCCAGATTGGCCAAAGGGAATTGACCACTCCGTATCCATGCACAAGCCTACTAGACAATTAGGTTTTCCCCCTTAGGATGTGGCTTCACCAACTTTTTCCAGCCACCTGGAAATATATATTTCATGATTTCCTGAGACATCACCTCCACACTATGAATGTGCAACCACAACTCCCAGAGAGGATGTAGATGAGACATTTCTGCAGAGGGACTTATTTCCACATAAACTGTGTTTCAAATTTCAACCTCAGGAAAGTACAGGTGTTTCAAAGGGATTGTGGAAACCTGGAGATCAAATATTTACCATGGCCACCATGAAGCGACAGGTATTGAACTTCCTGGTTTGGAAGCTGAGAGTTGAGGTTCGGAAATGAGTTGCCATCTCTCTGCCTCAGCTGCTGCTCCAGGCTTCGGATCCGATTCAGATGGGTCTCAACCAGTGCTCTCTGCAGGAAGATCAGGGCCAGAATAGATGGAGGGAGAGAGAAAGTATAGGGAGAAGTTAACTTCAGTTTACCTGGGGCAGGGGGAGGGGTTAAACCCTATTTTACCATTTTAACTAACAAGACTGTTTCTCATTGTCCTCCCTTTTCAGTCTAGTCCTGGATACAAAACTCCATTAAACTCAGAAGAAGGCACATTCATAGGCCACTTCTACACTGCCATATATAATCCAGATTATCAAATCAGATAATCCACGTTATCTGCTTTGAACTGGATTATACGAGTCTACACTGCCATATAATCCAGTTCAAAGTAGATAATCTGGGTTTTACATGGCAGTGTAGAAGAGGTCATAGCCTTGATGATCACAAGCAACATATAGGACAGGCATGAGCAAACTTCGGCCCTCCAAGTGTTTTGGACTCCAACTCCCACAATTCCTAACAGCCTACCGGCTGTTAGGAATTGTGGGAGTTGGAGTCCAAAACACTTGGAGGGACTAAGATTGCCCATGCCTGATTTAGAAGCACAGTGAGCCCACTGTATCCATTGCCTTGAAAAAATATAATCATCATTGCAACCATTTAATAGTGTGGTATTTGACCATTCACCTATTTTGGTATCTATGCAGGGTCCTGGAATCAAATGCTTGCAGATACAGCAGGTTCACTGTAACAACGTTACTTGTAACATGATACTTTGGCAATGAAGGCATATAGACGTTCCTTTTATAAAAGCACATAACTGATAATGCTATCACCCTTTCAGAGTGGCAAACATTGTTTACATATTATTTCTAAAATGTTGTCTGGAAAAGGTCATTAAAATATTTAATTACATTTACATCCCAATTCTGAGTCAGTGAGTTCAAAGGAGCATACATAGTACTTATCCTCCACACTTTCTCCTCCCTTATGATGTAAATAAGGGTAAATTCATCCGCTGAATTTCACGAATGCAATCTATTTGGATCTTCCAACTCCCCATCTAACACTCGAATCACTTTTTCCTTTTAAAAACACAAATTTAATTAAAACGCAATCTGTTGCTTGTAATGCCATGAATTTTAAAAAGTGCGCCTCATCAATTCACTTTTAAAAAGATAACATTCCAAGCTGTGCTTAAATCAGAAGGCCCCCGATTTGAAGGCCAGTTTCCTGTCCTCTTGCTCTGAAGCCTCCACTCCCAGTTCTGCTTTGATCCTCATCAGCTTTCTCTTCATTTAGATTTCCTGAATAATGCCAGTGGCTTTCCGACAGCTTAGCAAGTCAGATCAAAGCAAAACTCAAATCTTCCTTCGTACTTTCCCGCTATATTCTCCTTTTTTCCCAGACTCCTTTTTCTTCTCTCCATTCATTCTGATTATCCAGATCTCCCTTTGTTTCTTCTCCTTTTCTTCCTCTATGGTCCCTTCCACACAGCTGTAAGAAATCCACATTGAACTGGATTATATGGCAATGTGGACTCAGATAACCCAGTTCAAAGCAGATACTATGGATTATCTGTCTTGATATTCTGGGTTATATGGCTGTGTGGTAGGGCCAGGGGCGGCTCAACCCATTACACAAAGTAAGCATTTGCAGTATAGTTGATTTTGCCCAGGGGCGCTCTTGAGGCGCTCTTTGGGGAAAATAGACCTTGACATATGCGAGTTGTAGTTACTGGGATGTATAGTTCACCTACAATCAAAGAGCATTCTGAACTCCACCAATGATGGAACTGAACCAAATATGGCACACAGAACTCCCATGATGAACAGAAAATATGTATCAGTGATTGGTTTGGGGGGGGGGGGCTTCAAAATACTGTTTGCTTATCATTGAAAATTACCTAGGGCCGCCTCTGGGTAGGGCCCTATGTTGTTGCTGTTACTGCTGTGTGCCTTCAAGTCATTTCTGATTTATTGCAAACCCTAGATGAAGCCATCACAGGGCTAACTTAGCAGGACTTGTTCAAAAGGGGCCACAGTAGCACAGCGAGTTAAACCGCTAGCTGCAGAAAACTTGCTGATCAGAAATTGGCAGTTCAAAGTCACAGGTTGGGGTGAGCTCCCACTGTTAGCCCTAGCTTCTGCCAACCTAGCAGTTTGAAAACATGCAATGTGAGTAGATCAATAGGTACCACCTCGGTAGGAAGTTAAAAGGAGCCCATGTAGCTATGCTGGCAACGTGACCAGGAGTGTCTATGGACAACAGAGCACCTCCCCAGGGCCAGAGTTGAACATCGCCTCCAGACACCAGAGATGGAAAGGGAAACCTTTGCCTATGTTTGTGTATTGTATGCCATTGTTATTATTGTATAAGAGGCATCAAATGTTTGCCTATATATGCATATACTGTAATCCGCTCTGAATCCATTTCCATTGGTGGAAATGGAGAAGTGAAGCTCACCTGGCAGAAAGGTGGAAAACGCTCCTTCCCTAAGAGTGTGTGATTTGCTCAAGGTCATCCAGGCCCCTTTTACACTGCCATATATTCCAGATTATCAAATCAGATAATCCACAGTATCTGCTTTGAAGTGGATTATATGAGTCTACACTGCCATCTAATCCAGTTCAAAGAAGCACTGCCATCTAATCCAGTTCAAAGCAGATAATATGGATTTTATATGGCAGTGTAGAAGGGCCCCCAGTGGGTTTCCATGGCCAAGTGAGGGATTCAAGCTCTGGTCTCCCAGGCCCCATCTGCACTGCCATATAATCCAGTTTCTGAATCCAGACTATTGGCTCTGACCTGTATTATATGGCAGTGTAGATTCATGTAATCCAGTTCAAAGCAGATAACCTGGATTCAGAAACTGGATTGCATGGCAGTGTAGATCCAGCCCTAGTGTCCTAATCCAACATTCAAACTGCTACATCATATTGGCTCTCTTCTTCCAGTCCAAACCATCTTTTATAATTAAAAAATTTCAATATTCTTCCTTCCACCCTATCTCAATTAGAAGCATGCCTGTGAGTATTTGAATGCTACAAGATCCCAGCATATACTACAAAATATACCTTCATTTGATTCATTTCACAGTACTCTCACAACGGTGTAGAGTGCAAGTTGTCAGCCTTTTCATTATATATTATTCTTCATGCACTATTCATTCATTCTAGGCCATGTCCCTAGAATTATAAATGTAACAAAGGCCCCTTCCACACAGCAGAATAAAATCCCACATTTTCTCCTTTGAACTGGAATATATGGCAGTGTGGACTCAGATAAACCAGTTCAAAGTAGATATTGTGGGATTTTCTGCCTTGATATTCTGAGTTATACGGCTGTGCGGAAAGGCCCTAAGAAGTTAACAGTTACGCCACCAAGATAATGAATCTGTCCCTCATTTTCACAACTATGATAATAACATTATTATTGGGAAAGCATTAACTGAAAGTACTTTTTATTTATTTATTTATTTGCATTATTTCTACCCCGCTCATATCAGCCTGGAGGCGACTCAGAGCAGCGTACACAATCGACACAATTCAATGCCATAAAAATACATACACTGATAAGCAAAAGAACCATTATAGTGCAATTAGACATAAGACAGTGCATAATAACAATATTAAAAGCTAAAAACTATATCCTCTCTAGTTATAAGCTTTACTTGTAAGTATTTAGAGAAACTAGTTGATTCAAAGCTTTACTATAACTTCTGGAGGGCCCTTCTACACTGTCAGATAAAATCCAGATTATCTATTTTGAACTGGATTATATGGCAATGTAGACTCATATAATCCAGTTCAAAGCAGATAATGTGGATTATCTGCTTTGATAATCTGGGTTATATGGCAGTGTAGAAGAAGCATGAGAAACAAAGTAGATTAAATATTAGTATGATTATATGTTAACCATTTTTAACAACTATTTCAGCCTTCTATCATTGAATTTTTGGCAAAACAGACAAAGCATGTGTTAAAATCAGTGATAGCATCGGGGGAGATGAGCAGCCCTCCTTATTTCATGAGAAGTGCCACCAAATGTCAGCTTAGCGGAAAAAAGAAAACAATTACTCAGGAAGGCCTTTGGGGTGGAACTTTTGGCAATTCTCCACAAGTTAGTTTTAGAAAAAGATCTGTTTCCAGCAGCTAAATTTAAAAAGCAAAGCTGCAGCCTGAGTGGATGCAGCAATGGCCATCATCATGTCACAGCATTATGCCAACAGGTACATGGAAAAGGAGGGCACTGTGTGCCTTGCGGCCTGGTCAAACCCACCATCTGGCCCAGCTCTGATTCAAGGTCAGTCTTCTCCACACACAGCTTTTCATAGGCTTGGATCATCTCAGCCAGCTGCTCTTCCCTCTCCTTGCTTTTCTGCAGCTAGGGATGGGAAACAGAGAAAATGAAAGAGAGAAAAAACATGATGCAATAGTTGAATTTGGGATTGTTCAGTTTCAAAGGGTGGAGGCTGACAATAGCTTCTCACAGCATTTTAGATACTCATGCTATTCCTTCCCATGACTAAGCTCAGAGGAGACTTGTTCTTCCAATGTGTATAAAATGCTGAGTATGTACAGTGCTAACAGTTCAGTCTTTCAGTTCACCAAGATGCTCCCTGTGTTTTTGTTGAGCAAGATTGGGTATGGAGCTTAACATGATAATGAGCTTTTCACTCAACATTAATCATCCTACATCTCCTCAATTGTTTATTTTTTCTCAACACATTTATTTTATTTTATTTTTTAGATCTCACAGTCTACCGTGACTCAAACTAGACCATAACTGATTCCAATTCTATCCAACAGGCATTGTTGAATAATGTGGCACCTGGAAAGTAGTGTCATATTTTCTCAATGATATTATTGAAGTCCTATCCAGAGCAATACCACCATCATCCATTCATTTATAGTTCTTCTATCACATCAAAAGTATCTTCTCTAGGAATCTCTAGGTCACTGGTTCTCAACCTGTGAGTCCCCAGATGTTTTGGCCTTCAACTCCCAAAAATCGTAACAGCTGGTAAACTGGCTGGCATTTCTGGGAGTTGTAGGCCAAAACACTTGGGGGCCCACAAGTTGAGAACTACTGCTCTAGGTCTTCTAGTGTGACTCTACAATCAACTTCCTTCAGTAATTTCACTGATGACCACTCGAAGAAATTTGGGGCACTTCCACACAGCCCTTTATACCAGTAACATCCGCATTTTAAAAACGCAGATGTTCAAAGGCCCCTATCCACACACACACCCCAGAAAGCACGCGCTTTCTGGGGTGGGTGTCCAGCTGTTCTTCCGGGACTGGCCTGGGAGAACACCTGGAGACTCAACGCCATTACCACAGTTTTACGGACTAAATCGCAAAACTTGCCCGACCTCCAGTAGAGTGTTGCCAGAGCTCTCCTGATGCATATAAATAACACGCCAGGAGAACTGGGGGGGGGGGGGAGTTTTCTTTACTTCTAAAGGGGGGGTTAGGGTTTTTGCGGAAAGGGTTGGGATTCCCACAGTTTTCTGGACTAATTTAGTCCGGAAAATTGTGGGAATGGTGCCTGAACTACAGTCCAGACATCAGAAACAGTGGGTTTATCCCATGCCTTCCAAGAAGGCATGGAATAAATCCACTATCTAATTAATTTGCCAATTAATTTGTGAATTAATTGCAGGTTGCCCAGAACCTCATCTGGACAGCCCTTTTTTATTGTGGAATTTTCCGCAATAAAGGGACTGTCTGGATGCACCCATGGTTACAGGTAAGCAACCCCACTTTCTTCATCATGGTCTCTGTGAAATACACATCTGTGCAAATTTCACAGGTGACCACTTGAAGAAACATGGTTACAGGTAAGCAACCCCACTTTCTTCAACATGATCTCTGTGAAATACACACCTGTGTGAATTTTACAGATGACCACTTGAAGAAACATGGTTCCAGGTAAGAAACCCCCCTATATTCCAGGATCTGATACCAGATTATCTTCTTATCCAATATTATCTGCCAGTGTAGGCTCATATAATACAGCTCACAGAAGATAATCTGAGATCAGATCCTGAGATATAGGGCAGTGTAGATCAAACTTTAGATATTTCTATAAATAATACTTCTCTAGGGGTGGTTTCAGACAGGCAGTTATCCCAGGACCATCCGCGTTTTAAAAACGCGGGGGCCAGTCCACACCCAGTCCTGGGGGCCAATCCACACCCACCCCAGAAAGTGCGCACTTTCTGGGGTGGGTGTCCAGATGCTCTCACAGGACTGGCACGTGATATCATCTGGAAGCCATATCCCCCTCCCCCAAAGCCCCTAACTCACTATTTCCAGTGTCTGGACTGCAGTCCAGACACCATTCCTACAGCTTTCCGAAAACTTACCCAGCCTGAAGTACAGTGTTGCAGCAGCTCTTCTGGCACGTAGAAATGATGTGCCAGGAGAGCGGGGATGAGGGGGGTTGGAAAATGCCAGTAGAGCTGCTGCAACACTGTATTGAAGGCCGGGTAAGTTTTCATTACTTTTAAAAGGGAGTTGGGGGCTTTGGGGGAGGGATGGGTATTCCCATAGTTTTACGGACTAATTTAGTCCAGAAAACTGTGGGAATGGTGTCTGGACTGCAGTCCAGACACCGGAAATAGTGGGTTTATTCTGCACCTTCCAAGAAGGTGTGGTATAAATCCACTATCTAATTAATTCGCTACAAACCATGGTTTTCCTGGCTTGTAGCAAATTAATTCGGGATTGTCCAGAATGTTATCCGGACAGCCCCTTCTTTATTGCAGGAGTTACTCCAATAAAGGGGCTGTCTGGATGTACCCAAGGGTCCTTCCGTACTGCCATATAATCCACACTATCAAAGCATAAAATCCAGATTATCTGGTTTGAAGGGGGTTATCTGAGTCTACATTCCCATATAATTCAGTTCAAAGCACACAATCTGGATTTTATATGGTAGTGTAGAGGTTGCCAAAGTTGTACTGAAAAACCTAGAAATGTTATCTCAGGTTTAAAAAATAGCAGTTTTACCTGTGGTTTTTCACTTTCTCAAGGGTCCTGTGCTGCTAACCCAAGCAGAAGGATGATTATCTATCCTAATATAATGAATCTTTCTCTCAAAAAATGGCATCTTATAATAATTAACATAAATATGCTGAAAAGTATTTACAAAATCATCAATAAAAACATTTAAAAGGTATTGTTAAAATCAAATTAAACAATCCATTAATTAAAGCCTTTTAAAACAGAGCCATTGAAAGACATGAGATAAAAATCAATCAGGCAACACAACACCAAAAGCACTCAATTAAAAACTCTTGCAGTTAATTCCTAAAAGCTTGTCACTTGTCGACAGAAAGCAACAAGGAGAGTCATTCTAGCCCCTAATTGAGATTTTTTAAACAACAAGAAAATGGTAACATTTCTCAACCTGTACTGAAGTGTTCCAAAATGCTTTGGCAGCAAGTTGGGAATGCATCCAACAGCTTTTCCAACAGGAAACACATGCATGATAAACAGGACGCTCTTGATGCTTTGGAAAACTGCCAGTGAAAGAAGATAATAATGGGCAGCTGGGTGGACCCATAGCTTCTTATGCTCCTTTGCAAGTCAAAACTCAGGAAGTCATGTATGGAGAGGTGACATTCCTGACTTACTTGCTATAAAAGCTATTCTGTAAAGCAGCTATGCAGTTTTCCTTTGAAACCTACAGGAAAATAAATATATTGAGAGGAGAAGACACATTATATTTCTAGTCCCTTGATGGCCCAGGTTGGAGTAAGCTCCCAACCACTTTCTGTTGACCTTTGCAGCCCGAAAGACAGTTGCATCTGTCAAGTAGGAAATTTAGGTACCACTTATGCGGGGAGGATAATTTAACTAATTTACAACACCATAAAATTCTCCAGCAGCAAACAAAAGAATGAGGAGTACTCCATCAGTGTCACAAGTGGATGGTGAAGCGACAGCTCCCCCAGTGGCCAGAATTCAAAGCATACTCTCATGAAGCTGGAAGTTAAATAGCTTCTGTGTCTCTATATATGTTGTGTATCTATGGCATTGAATGTTTGCCATGTATATGTGCATTGTGATCCGTCCTGAGTCCCCTGTGGGGTGAGAAGGGCGGAATATAAATACTGTAAATAAATAAATTATGCTATGCTAACCAATTTGTGGCCTTCAGAAGTTGTTAAGACTGTGATGCCTAAGCCAACAAGAGGATGAATGGTCCTCCATTGCTACTGCCACTGCTTTATCCTTGGAGGGAGAGAAGAACAGGAAGATCCAGCTCCATCATGGCTAGGCCCAGAAGGAGATGAAGGGCCAAATGCCACTGCCCTGGCCTCAGAGGGGGAGGAAGCAGACATAGCTCCACAATACTGAGGTCCAGAAGCAGATGAAAGGCCCTCCATCCATCCTGGCTACCACTGCTGTGGCCTCAGAGGGAGAGAAGAAGGGGAAGACCTAGCTCCATCATGCTTATGCCCAGAAGCAGATGAAAGACTCTCCCTTCATCCCAACTGCCACTGCCCTAGCCTTGGATGAAAAAATGAGAAGAGGCATATCACATTGCTATCCCATTTCCCTTAGAAATACCTTAATCACATTAATAATAATAATAATAATAATAATAATAATAATAATAATATTTATATCCCGCTACCATCTCCTTGAAGAGACTCAGGGTGGCCTACAAAGCACTGCAGGGTGAACATATAACATAACAACAGGTAAAAACAGTACAAAAGTATAAAACAAGTCACAATGCAAGCCTGAGGACAGGAGCTGTATTGTTGTTTTTACTTGGAAAGCACCAGATACAGTTATGGTGCTATACAAATAAATGGCGATAATAATAATACTGATAGCAATAACATCACCAACTCCTACCAGACCTAAGCAGCATGGACAATGATAAGGGATGATGGATGCTCTAATGCAATAGCATCTGGAGTAGCATACTTTCCCTGTGTCCTTTCTAACCCTGTCTAGGTGTTGAGCTCATAGAAAGACTAAGACCCCTTTTACACTGTCCTTATATCCCAGAATCTGATCCCAGGTTATCTGTTTTGAACCGAATCATATGAGTCTCCACTGCCATATAATCTGGAATTAGATCCTGGGATGTAAGGACAGTGTAGAAGGAGCCTAAGAAGTTTTGTGGGAGGTATTTATATCATTAAGGCCTCTTCCACATTGCCATATAAAATCCAGATTATCTGCTTTGAATTGGATTTTATGGCAGCGTAGACTCATATAATCCAGTTCAAAGCAGATAATGTGGATTATCTGGTAATTTGGATTTTAAAATTTGGATTTTAAAATTCTTTTTGAAAATTTTATTGACACTCCTCTTGAACCACTGCTACCCCTTTTCTCTCACTTTGCTTTAATATTCCATTTTGATTTATATTAATAGTTACAGTTGAATCCTTCTCCTCCACTAATAGATTCAAGGTAGCATGCCTTTGAGATTTCTGGTGTTTTCAGTAGAAAAATTGCACTAGATGCAAATGCTGTTTGGGATCTAAACTGGCACAGAAGCACGATGTCACCTAGCTTGAAGGTGTGATTCGAGACGTGGGTAATCCAATCTTCCCACCTGCCCTTGATTCCCATGCCCTGCTCTACAATGTCATCTCTGTGCTATGGAATTTCCAGAGCTGAAACCGTAGAGCGCTCCCTTTCACCTCATTCTGCCTTTGAGCGAGGAAAACAATGTCATCTTTTTGAAAAATGAAGTATGCCCCATCGTGCTGCAACTCTGGTGTATACCGACAAGCTCTGGCACATGCCTGCTCCAAGAAACAACCAACAATAAGAGCAGCAGCAGGTGATCTTTATAGAGGAAAGAAGAGGAAAGAAGCAGGAAAATGAAATCTCCTAGCAACTGCAGTGGTGACAGGACCAGCCTGACCGAAAGGCACAGTGAGGTGGCTGACTCAGCCACCAAAGTGGAGGGACAGAAATGGCTCTTTCCTGCTGCTGCAGGAGAGAAAGGTATCCTTTAGGCAATGTGTCTTTTATCCCATCAGCTAGCTTGCTTCCTGCTGCAGCACATTCTCCTCTCACAAATTTTGCAGAAAGTTTCAACTATGAGGGTTGAATGAAAAGTAATGCCTCCACCTTCATAACTCCTCATCAGATGGCAATACTGGTATGTGGCAGGTCATGGCTTGTTCAGTAGATTCTCCTCTACAGTTTCATTTTGGTGGGAAGTCTTAGCATTGAACGGTTGTGTTGTTAAAGTGCAAAGTATGGAACCCTGCGCAGGTCGGTCAATGCGACTTAAGCAATGTTCAGTCATTGAAGTCTTGACGGCAGAAGGTATCACCCTAAAGGAGATTCATCAGAGAATGCAAGCTGTTTATGGTGATTGTGTTGATGTGAGTACTGTGCATCGTTGGGTGAGTAAGTTTAAAGATGTTGAGATGGGAACATCCGACTTGCGTGACAAAGAAAGAGTTGGATGTCCTGTGACAAGCAATCACAGGGTTTCACAAGCAAAAGGTTGACAGATAACAATAATAATAATCTTTATTTGTACCCCGCTACCATCTCCCCAAGGGACTCGGTGTGGCTTACATGAAGCCAAGCCCAAAGTACATCAAACAAAACATCAATAAACACAACGTCAATAAACAATCAATAAAATTGATTCAGGACAATCGTCGTATCACTCAGAAAGCAATTTCAAGCATAACTGGCATTTCACAAGAAAGTGTGGATCACATTATTGCTTTGCTTGGCTATCTGAAGATCTGTGGGTTGCAGAAACAGAGTGTTGACTTCTTCCGTGACGGCTTCAGAAATTTGTTCATCATTGACAGAAATGTATCCAATTGTCTGGTGATTATGTGGAAAACCAAATAGTGGTAGCTAAAGAGCACATCCTAAGGATTATTTCTGCATTTGATTTATTAAAAGATTCCCATTCAAACCCAAGTAATGAAGATGGAGGCATTATTTTTCATTCAACCCTTGCACTAATACCAGTGGAATAGAACCTACAGCTGTGGCTTTCAACCTGTGGGTCTTCAGAAGTTTTGGCCTTCAATTCCCAGAAATCTTGGAAATTGGCTAGAAAATTGGCTAGGATTTCTGGAATTTGTAGGCCAAAACACCTGGGGACTCACAGGTTGAGAACCACTGACCTACAGGTTAAATGGCCACCATGAGATCTTTGGATATCAGGTGGGAGAGCCAGCATGGTGTAGTGGTTTTTATGTTTGACTACAAGTCTGAAGACCATGCTTCATTCCTTGCTCGACTATTAAAATATGGCTGGGTGATGCTAGCGGAGTCGCTCCAGTAATTTATTATTCTTGATGTGTTCCTTCAAGTAGTTTCCAACTTATGGCAATCCTAAAGAAACACTATTGCAACCTTAAGAGTTACTATTGTGTTGCCATAAGTCCAAAACAACATGTGTGCCATAAGACACACAACAAAAAACAACAAGATATGTATTGTCGAAGGCTTTCATAGCTGGAATCATTGGTTGTCTAAAAAATTTTTGGCCTGTATGTGTAATGAATGAATGTGTGAGTGCATGCGGAAGAGCAGAAGAAACAAGCCAAGAAGAATCAACATGGAGTTTGCGCAAAGCATGATATGGGTCAGACTTGGCAGTCGAAGCGAGGAGGCAGTAAGGCATAGCTGAACAACAATGAACAATAAGGTGTGCGGCCGAGCGTGTAAGGAGTGCAAGAAATGTGCAGGAGGTACTCCAAAAGTCCTATGGCCTGGAATGTGGATGTCTTGAACTTGAAATAACAGACCAGCATGTTTAATAAAAAGAAGAAAAATGGATTTTGGCCTATAAATGCAGGAGACCCCAAGATCATGCACAGTTCCTGATCCGCGGCAACCAGGAACGTCCGCACCTTCTCAGAGGAAAGTTGATCATTTTCGTCCAGAGAAGGCCTGTGTGTGTGTGTGTGAGTATGTGTGAATGTTTGGAATGTGTGCCTGAGAGATCTCTCTTGATGTGATTCTATGGTGACTGTATTTCAATAAATGTTACATTAATAGTGTTAAAACCAAATTTGGTCTCTAAAGTGTCTCATTGATCTAAATTACCTTACTACTCCTTGAACACTCTGCACAAAAGAACAGGAATCTTTTAGGGTACATAACATATGGCCATGTTCCAGAAGCATTCTCTCCTGATGGTTCGCCTGCATCTATGGCAGGCATCCTCAGAGGTTGTGAGGTCAGTTGGAAGCCAGAAAAATGGGAACATCCGGGGTGGGAGAAAGAACTCTTGTCTGTTGGAGCTAGGTGTGAATGTTTCAATTGGCCACCTTGATTAGCATTTAATGGCCTAGCATTTTCAAGGTGTGGCTTCTTACTGTGTGGGAGAATCCTTTGTTGAGAGGTGATTAGCGGGCAAAAACAAATCAAGGAACATTAAGGGCACTGCAGACTAATTCAACCAGAGAAGTCAGCCACAGCAGAGCACCTGATGAACCAACCTGGACAAAGCATATTATTTGAGAACACAGAAATGCTGGACCACTCTAACAACTACCATGTCAGACTACACAGAGAAGCCACCGAAATCCATAAGCATGTGGACAATTCCAACAAAAAGGAAGAAAGCATGAAAATGAACAAAATCTGGCTACCAGTATTTTTAAAAAATCTAAAATCATAACAGTAAATAAAGAACAACACTCAAAAACAGGGGAACTCCAGACAAGAAACAATTTGGGACAGCTAATATTGTAAGAAAATAAATAGAATGGTAGCAACATATCTTAGCCTAATATTAGGAAGACATTCCTAACTGTGAGAGATGTTCAGCAGTGGAACTCTCTGCCATGGAGTGTGGTGGAGGCTCCTATTTTGGAGGTTTTTTAACAGAGCCTGGATGGTCATCTGTCAGGGATGCTTTGAATGCCATTTTCCTGCTTCTTTGGCAGGGGGATGATCCACAAGGGCTCTTCCAACTCAATGATACTTTTTTGTTCTAGAGCAGGGCAGGGAAGTGGAGGTCCTCCTTGGCCTCCACTGTACTTTAGCGCTCTGTGTGGCACCACTTTTAACCTGGCATAACAAGTTCACCTGAAAACACCATAGACCATATTCTTGAGCTAATCACCGCAATTCATGAGGCACTAGTGCAATGCATCCTGCTAGAGGCAAAAATCTATGAGCTAAATTGTCAGCTAAAAGCCTTTCCTCTTTAAAAGCCCCTTCCAAGTCTGTCAAGACATATCACTCACCTCACGCTGGAATTGATTCAACTGTTGCTGGAGATTGGCCTTCTCACTTTTCAAAAGAGATGTCTCTTTGGAGTCGTAGGATGGGAAGATACGCTCCTCTCCAAACTCACTGATCAGCGGGAACTGCATGCCGGGAGTATAAGAAAAAATGTGAGCAAACATTGTGGTGTTTGTGTCTGTTTTCTCCAAATATTTATGCAAAGTGGGGAGACCTATTAATTGAAAATGCAAAACTGAAACCATAAGATCTTACATATCAGAGAGCCAGCTATCTTAAATATGTTTTATCAGACATTGAAAAATATGACACAATATTGTAAAGTTCAGTTGCCATGCTGTCTGGAGGATTCTGTAGATTTTGTGCCACAATTCAAGAGGGATATTGACAAACTGGAAGGTGTCCAGAGGAGGGTAACTAAAAGCTCTGGAAAGCATGCCCTATGAGGAGTGGCTTAAAGAGCTGGGTATGCTTAGCCTGCAGAAGAGAAGACTGAGAGGAGACATGATAGCAATACTTAATTATTTGAAAGTATGTCATAAGGAAGAGGGAGCAGGCTTGTTTTCTGCTGCCGTGGAGACTAGGATTCAGATAAATGGGTTCAAATTACAGGAAAGGAGATTCCACTTGAACTTCAGGAAGAACTTCCTAACTGTGAGAGATGTCCAGTGGAACCTTCTGCCTCAGAGTGTGGTGGAGACTTTGAAACAGAGGCTGGATGGCCATCTGTCAGGAATATTTTGATTGTGCTTTTCCTGCATGGCAAGGGGTTGGACTGGACAGCCCTTGTGGTATCTTCCCACTCTTCCCAATTCTATGCAACTATGATTCTATGTCATCAAAAAGATTTTTTTCTGACTGTGAAACCAACTTTTGTGGTCAAAAGCCATATTCAAACACAGGATTAAAATTATACCGAATTTTAAAGGAAATTTTATGTGGTTACATTTCAGTCCAAGCCTGTCTTAAGAGGCTCTGTTGAGATTTCACTCAAAGTATGTTCAATGTGTTGTTGAAGGCTTTCATGGCCAGAATCACTGGGTTGCTGTGAGTCTTCCAGGCTGTATGGCCATGTTCCAGAAGCAAAATGTCAGGAGAGAATGCTTCTGAAACATGGCCATACAGCTTGGAAAACTCACAACAATTCAAAGTATGTTCTTTATTAAAAGTATTTTGTATCATGAAAAAGTAGTATTTCTTTGTGGTAAGGTGGCCTTGTATTCTACTTCACAGAGTGCCATCTTCTTTTCGAAGACAGGCTGCAAGGTTGTGAGCTTCCTAAGTATCTTGAGATATTATATATATTTTAAGATACTTTGGACTCTCTTTAAAAACAATCTGGCAGAAAGTTGTCCCAAATATACAACAATTACCAAAATGTCCCACAACCTAGCCACTTGGCTAGGTTTTCCTAACATCTATCTAACTGAAGAAATGAGAGAAAATCACGTGGAACAAACCTTGAAGTAACTTCTAGTCTGTTATGGCTGTCCAAAATGCTGTTGATGCAAGTGTGAGTGCAGGAGCATCTTTGCAAAGGAGTTTGGTCCTTTCCCTATGACTTTCATTGAAAAGCTTTGTGTGTGTATGAGTGTGTGTCAGGAGCAACTAGAGAAACTGCAAGTCGCTTCTGGTGTAAGAGAATTGGCCATCTGCAAGGACACTGCCCAGGGGACGCCCGGATGTTTTACCATCCTGTGGGAGACTTTCTTTTATGACTCCACATGAGAAGCTAGAGCTGACAGATGGGAGCTCACCCTGCTCCCCGGAATCAAACCGCCGACCTTTCAGTCAGCAGTCCTGCTGGCACAAGGGTTTAACCCAGTTCACCACCAGAGGCTCCTCATTGTAAAGGCATTGTTCAAGTCACCGAGACTGAGTAGTCAAATACAATGGTTATCTGACCATAATCTGTCACGTTATGATAAAAAGTGCATTTGATGTTTATTTAAATGACAGCAATCTTTTCTGAATGTGCATGTAAACACACAAAGTGGTGTGTGCATGTTCTATGCTAATCAATACGCTCTTTTTGTGATGTACAAACTCTGGGTGCTGAAATCCAAAACGCCTGGATGACCAAGGACCCTTCCACACAGCCATGTGACCCAGAATATCAAGGCAGAAAATCCCACAATGTCTGCTTTGAACTGAGTTATCTGAGTCCACACTGCCATATATTCCAGTTCAAAGCAGATAATGTGGGATTTTATTCAGCTGTGTGGAAGGGGCCCAAGAGCACCATTGCTAACAACACACACACACACATATATATATATATATATACACACATGCATACATATACACACACACACACATGCACACACAACCCTCAGTATTCGTTTTGAATTATTATTAAATTATTAAACCTGTCCTGGATTTAATAATTTTAAGCTGCTTTGAATTCCATCACTGTGGAATAGGCAGGACATAAATGGATAAAATAATAAAAATTCACCTACATTCCCTCGCTTTCCATGGTAACGAAATGCTCAAGCTGATTAATATTTAAGGCAGTATCATGGGTTAGGAATGTAATAAGGTAATTAAATAACAGCGCTCCATGCAGTCATGCCGGCCACATGACCTTGGAGGTGTCTATGGACAACGCAGGCTCTTCAGCTTAGAAATGGAGGTGAACTCCACACTCCAGAGTCAGACACGACTGGACTTAATATCAGGGGAATACCTTTACCTTAATAAAATAACAGGACAGGTAACTGTGATTTTGTGTGAAGTCCAAAATATTTGGAGAACTAAAGGTTAGGAACAATTGCAAGGGAGTATCCATACCTGCAAACCACTACTTACTTTGATCTCATACATCTTGAGTTTGCGTTTGAGACTGGCGTTCTCACGCTCCAGTCCTGTTAGTCGATTCTTGATGTCATCGTAGGCCGTGATTAGAGCAAAGTGAGAAGCGGAGCACATCTCACTGGAGAAGTCGGTGTTGGGGCTGTCCAGCCACTCATCGTCCTGAACCAGCGCATCTTGGGTGAGGATGCTGATATCATCCTCAAACATGGAGTCCATGGCACAGTCCGGAAAAGCTGGGCGTTCAGCAGGGAACACCAGGGCATAGCAAACTCTGACTGTAGGAAAGGACAAGAAACAAGAGTGAGAAATAGATGAGGCATGCTCCATCTTGTTGAAATTACTTTCTATTGCATAATAATAATAATAATAATAATAATAATAATAATAATAACAACAACAACAACAACAACAACAACAACAACAACTTTATTTTTATACCCTGTCTCCATCTCCCCAAAGGGACTCGGGGTGGCTTACACAGTTAAAAACATAACATATAAAATTTCCTTTGAGCATGCACCAAAAAAGGGAGTATGAAAACCTGAGGAAAAGATCAATGCCTTACAGCAGTGGTTCTCAACCTTCCTAAAGCTGCAACCCCTTAATATAGTTCCTCATGTTGTGGTGACCCCCAAACATTACTATTTTTGTAGCTACTTCACAACTGTAATTTTGCTACTGTTATGAATTGTAATGTAAATATCTGATATGCAGGATGTATTTTCATTCACTTGATCAAATTTGGCACAAATACCAGATATGCCCAAATTTGAAAACTGGTGAGGTTGGGGGTGAGGGGAGATCGATTTTGTCATTTGGGAGTTGTAGTTGCTGGGATTTATAGTTCACCTACAATCAAAGAGCATTCTGAACTCCACCAACAATAGAATTGAACCAAACTTGGTACACAGAACTTCCATGACCAACAGTAAATACTGGGAGGGTTTGGTGGGCATCAACCTTGTGTTTTGGAGTTGTAGTTCACCTACATCCAGAGAGGAATGTGGAATCAAACAATGATGGATCTGGACCAAACTTGGCACGAGTACTCAATATGCCCAAATGTGAACACTGGTGGAGTTTGGGGAAAATACACCTTGACATTTGGGAGTTGTAGTTGCTGGGATTTATAACTCACCTACAATCAAAGAGCATTCTGAACCCCAACAATGATACAATTGAGCCAAACTTCCCACACAGGACCCCCATAACCAACAGAAAATACTGTGTTTTCTGATGGTATTTGGCGAGCTCTCTGACATCACCCTCACAACCCCCTCCCCCAGGGGTGCCTACCCCCAGGTTGAGAAATGCTGCCTTAGAGTCTTTGGGATGGCATTTTTAATTGCTCTGTGTCTTCAACGGACACAGGTTCTGCCAGAAATCAGGACAAAATATAATAAATAAAACAATAGGAAAATGCAGCTTTGAAGTTAATACAGGCCCCAGGCCCGTAGCCAGGATTTTGGTTCGGGGGGGGGGGGTCTGAGTGAAAGAGGGTCTACCCTAGCAAACCTTTTGTATCATTACCCAATACCCCCATGCATATGGGATATATTGAGTATGGTGATCAGATCATGATATGAATAAACATAACAGTTTAAATAATGCACCAGTAAGGCCTTCTCGCGGACCATCATGAGAATTTCGGGGGGGGGCTGAAGCCCCCCCCCCCCCCCCCCGGCTACATGCCTGACAGGCCCCATGTACACAGCCATGTAATATCCAAATTATCTGCTTTGAACTGGATTATAGGAGTCTACTCAGCCATATAATCCAGTTCAAAGCAGATAATCTGGATTTTATATGTAGAAGGGGCCATAGTCAGCCCTCAGTATCCACACATTCTACCATCCATGGCTTGAAAATATCCTCCCCCCCCCCAAAAAAAACCTTGATTTTGTCATTTTATGGAAACATTTTTACTTTGCCATTTATTATAATGGGACTTGAGCACCCATGGATTTTATCATTTATGGAGGGTTCTGGATACAAACCTAACAAGCCTTCCTAAGATATCTTAAAGGGATGCATTCTCACTTTAAAGATATATAGAAATAGTCATCATATATAGATATGGACACACATACATAGAGAATGTATTAGAGTTAGAGGATTAGTTATCATATAGTGTAAGCCTTACTGTTTCATTTAAAACACAAGGAGGATACAAAATCAATCAATCATTCAGTACTTTCTTTTGCATTTCAAAAAATGCAATAAATAAATAAATAAAAACCCAGACATTAAAAATCCATTTTAAATCAAATTGATGTACAGAGATTAATCAGAAATTGATTTCCAAATCAGAGCTACCATAGATCTCCATACTGTTTTGTTTTTGTCCAGCAGGTCTCTCAATAAATAATGATGTAAAGACGGAGGATATACAGTGATTTTCAAAGGATATAAATTGAGTAGAAGTCAACCTCTTCTTCTAACAAAACAGTCGTACTTCCCACTCTCCACTTTCCTGCAGATCCAGACTGCAACAGGCAGAGTGGCACAAGCCCGAATTCCCACACAAAACTAATCCAGGGCAGAAGGCTACTTGAAGCCTAGGACTATCATATGGAATAGCCTCCAAGAAAGAGAGGTGGAGGAAAGGTGCAACCACCACAGTCATTTGAGCCAGTTACCTCATTCTGTCTAACAACAAGGCTTGACCTACTTCTTTACCTGACTTTCACCCTTCGTGCACTCAAAATATGTATGAGCGACTGGCACTGCCACTTGCTAGCATGTGCCAACCATACCTCCTGCTTAGGTCAACCAGGATTCCCTCGTATGTGGAGAATTCCTTCACACACCTGTCAATATGCAAACAGGAATCCTTGTACAGTGATGGATGAAGCCATCTGGCACAACCATGTCTCCGCCTACTTGCTTTCAAAGTGTGAAGGGATGTCAAGTCTTCTCTTGTACACTTTGTTTTATTTCAGAGAGCTTCGATAAGAGCGCTTTCCTAGGGATCTTGTTCCATTGCTGCCTCCAGTTTTGCTTCCCTTCATAGCACTACTAATTTAACCTCTGGTAAAGTGGATCATCCTTTATTTGCCAGAAATGCTCCATATTTAGGACTTTGTTGGATGTGGAATACTTGCACGCACATAATGAGATATCTTGGAGATGGGGCCCAAGTCTAAATGCAAAATTTATATATGTCTCGTATCTAACTCCTATACCTACCCCGAAGATAATTTTATATACACCATTTTAATAATGTTGTGCACGAAACAATGATTGTTTACATTGTACTCTCAGAAAAGAATGCCATCCACATGGACAATTTTGATTTTTGGAATTCCAGATAAGGAATACTATTGTATGTTTATTTTTTGCATTGTTCCAGTTACATTGTGCCATCTCTAAGCCATCCTGAGTCCCTTCAGGAAGATGGTGGCAGGGTACAAATGTGTGTGTGTGTGTGTGTGTGTGTGTGTATGCTTAATGTGAACTTTTTTGTTTTGTGACAGAACTGCATTAGGACTCACGAGTCAGATATTTGGTCCTTCTAGACTGGGGCTTCTTAAACATTTTCACTCAGGACCTCTTTTGGCCCAACAAAATTTTACGCGACCCGACACCCCCTCCCCCCAATGCAGGCAATCCCCGAGTTACAACCATCCAACTTACTAATGACTCACAGTTAAGGATGGAGGTGAGACAACAAAAAGAGAGAAAAATCTACTGCTCAGAAGGGAAAATCACTCCTGGAAGAGTTATCATGAGGAAAGGGGGTCTCCACTTAAGATTTATCACCAATCCTTGTTTCCACAACAAGCCAAATTTTCAAAATCCAATTATCACAGAGACAGAAAATGAGGTGAAATCTTCTGAACAGGGGCACAGGCAACAAAACAAAGTCCACAGGGGTGATGATGATGATGATGATGATAATAATAATAATCTTTATTTATATCCCGCCACCATTTCCCAAATGGCACTTGGGATGGCTTACAAGGCATTACAAGTGTTTTTATACATGAGTATAAAAACAATATCACATAAAAGTTATAAAAGCAACCACTATTAACACATAAAATAAAATAAAAACACAGTTTAAAACACAGACCATCTGTAGTTAAAACTAGCTGCCTTCAAATCACAACTAAAGTGCCAAAGTGTCAACCTTATATGGGACCATTTCAGTCTATCCAAGGTCAAAAGCCTGCTTTAAAATCCATGTTTTTAGGCTGGATCAGAAGGAGTCAAGGGTGGGGACTAACCTAACCTCCCTTCCATATGCTATCCAAAGCGACACACACGTGCACGCACATTTTTAAAGTGTAACTCCAACCATATGTATATGTATGTGTGTGTATGTATATGTGTGTGTGTGTGTGTGGCTGGATTAAGAAATGTGGATTAAGAAATGGGCTCCACAGCCACCTATGGACCCACTGGCAAGACACTACGCTGGGAGGGCCACCATCCTCGAGCTACGAAGGGTCGCCTGAGTAAGTGAGGAGTTACAATTTAAAATTGTACCTATTCTGACTTACAACCAAATTCAACTTATTAACATATCTAAAAAAACCTATCTTGTTTGTAACTTGGGGAACTGTCTGTATACGTATATAAAATAGATATAAAAATCAAACATTTATTGATAATAAATCAGCACTGCAAGACTTGCTAAACAGGTTGCTTTTCCTTTTTATGAAGTACAGCTGAAGCATATTCTGCACTGTACTTCATAAAAACACTGCACAGTCCTCTGAAAGACACGAGATTAACCAATTCCTTAAACATGGACCCTTCAGGGTGCTGAACAGTAAACACCCAGATCCACGCAGCAGTAAAATTATATCTTTCATAAACACATAAACTTTCTGTGTGCTATCTGTGATGATAAAATAATTTCTTGAACTCTTGGGGTTTTCCTTTTACATTCAAAATCTTCAACCTAGACAGCTGCTCTTCTTCTCTACTTTGCCAAGAGAAAGTATTGCCAGTTCAGGATTGTCCCATGTTCTGAGGTTTCTGATCCAAAATTGGAGACCTTGAGATGGCTCCTGGGGATGCATGAAGGACCAACTACAGTTTGTCATTCAAAAACACACAGAAGAGAGACTGGGACATAGACATAGAAAGAGAAATATATATTTTCTTATTTGGAAATTAAGACAGAAATCTTAGCTCAAAGAGACCGTTCCCTGATCAAGGTGAAATGAGAGGATTATTCTTTCTCTCCTACTTAGACAGATGGGATAAGGAACATTTAATCTGTCCTGCCTGCTTCTGGCCAGAAATACGGACGTAGGAAAGGGAG